GTAGCCTTCTCTCTGAACAGGTCAGTTCCTTGATAGCCTTCTCTCTGAACAGGTCAGTTCCTTGATAGCCTTCTCTCTGAACAGGTCAGTTCCTTGGTAGCCTTCTCCCTGAACAGGTCAGTTCCCTGGTAGCCTTCTCCCTTAACAGGTTAGTTCCTTGATAGCCTTCTCTCTGAACAGGTCAGTTCCTTGGTAGCCTTCTCTCTGAACAGGTCGGTTCCCTGGTATCCTTCTTCCTGAACAGGTCAGTTCCTTGGTAGCCTTCTCCCTGAACAGGTCAGTTCCTTGGTGGCCTTCTCCCTGAACAGGTCAGTTCCTTGGTAGCCTTCTCCCTGAACAGGTCAGTTCCCTGGTAGCCTTCTCCCTGAACAGGTCAGTTCCCTTGGTAGCCTTCTCCCTGAACAGGTCAGTTCCTTGGTAGTCTTCTCCTTGAACAGGTCAGTTCCCTGGTAGCCTTCTCCCTGAACAGGTCAGTTCCCTTGGTAGCCTTCTCCCTGAACAGGTCAGTTCCCCGGTAGCCTTCTCCCTGAACAGGTCAGTTCCTTAGTAGCATTCTCCATGAATAGGTCAGTTCCCTGGTAGCCTTCTTTCCGACTTTCTGTTCCCCTTCTTTCTTTTTGAGCAGGTCAGTTATTTTGACTCTTTCTTCCAGATTGGATCAATTTTTTGGGCTCTTTTAATTTCCATATTAAACCTTTTACAATCTCGAGAGAGAGAGAGAGAGAGAGAGATCGAGAGAAAATAAACTAAATATAAATTATTTAGAAAATATATTTTACGAAAAAAAAACACTTTTTTTTTTCCTAAGTTTTAAATTTATTCTTCAATTTTTTTAAAATATTCAAAATCGAATTAATTTACTAATATACGGTAGTTTGATAAAAGCAGACGAAATAGTTCCTCTCTCTCTCTACGCCTAGAGAATATTTGAAATAAATAAACTTTTATGAGAGTTTTCGTGAACCTAAATATAAAAAAAAAACGTATTATTTCAAACTTTCTTAATTAAGGAAAATTCCGAAAGGAAAAAGAAAAAAAGAGCTGAGAGCCGTATTCATCAATAAACGTCATTTTAATGAACCAACAGATATTGATCAGACGTCTGTGTGTGTTATATATACCTGCTCGGCGTATTGGGGGAAAATCATACTTAGATAGTGTTTGTTGTAATAAATATTTTTATTTAATATCGAAAATCTCAAAATTGTAATCACGATTACATTTTCTATGTTTACAATAATATATAAAAGCATAGAGCTCCTCTCCCGTCAAAATCTGACGCCATCTATTGACCGTCGCCGCAACTAGCGGCCTCGGGTCGGTGACAAAGCCACAACACCAGCTTTGGCAAACTGAGAAGCGTCCACCTAGAGACCATGGTTTCGGGCTAATGGCCCTCGTCAGTCTAGGGCCTGTTGTGGCTTTGTCACCGACCCCAGGCCGCTAGTTGCGGCGACGGTCAATAGATGGCGTCAGATTTTGACGTTTATTTTGACGGGAGAGGCGCCCTATGCTTTTATGGATTAATTTCCTCCCGGCAAATTTTCCATCTACACTAATATATATACACCTATCATTGACAGGTTAAAATATGTTGTCAGCACATAAGCTCGGGATTCCTCGTGAGATGTGTACACAGCGCATGTGTTCAATCACAGTAGCATTTAGTATAGTGCGATAAAAAAAAACTTATTTGGAAAACCGTGTAAAAGCGAAAACGTGTAAAAAAAAGTACCGTGTAAATCGGGGGATAGGTGTATATATAATCATGATGATATTTTTAAAACTATTATTACCATTACAAATAACCATGAAGACATTGTCTATATTCCCGCCCCTGGACACTTTTTATTTTTCCGTTCTCCATTACTCTTCATGTTTCACCTTTCCATACCTCATCCTCAAAGTTAGAAATGTCGCTATTTCTCTTTGAAAATAAATTTCGATTTTTAAAAGAAACATTCGCGGTATAATTTTAATTTTCGTTTTACATTGTCTATAATTACAATAGCAAATAATCATGATTACATTTGTCTATTATTACAATTACGAGTAATTGTGTGATAAAATACTATTTTTTATTATACAAGTGTATATATTAGAGGCACAATGTGTGATAAGACATTAAATAAATAAATTTATTATTCTTAAACGCACTATATTAATTAATTTAGAGATTTTGTATTATTACATTTTATTTTTCAAATCTATAAAACGAATTGTATAAATTACTTGTAATTATAGAAAATATGCTTTTAAAAGCGCGAATGTCTCTTTTATACATAATACAAACTTCTACTGTCCTTAATGCGATGAAAAAATATATTGGGAGGGCTTGGCTCATTAGTGGAATGTAATTCTACTGTCCTATAAGCTTATGACCATAGTTTTCTTGAAAACCATTTCTGAGATTCCATCCTTTAGTGCTGCGTATATAAGCAGAATCGTCCAATACAGTATTCGAGCTCTTAGAAGCGGTCTGGTGGATTAAATTGGCGAAACCGCTGGGAGGGTTCACCACTGATGAGCCAAGCACTCCCAATATATTTTTTCATCGCAGTAAGGACAGTAGAAGTTTGTATTATGTATAAAAGAGACATTCGCGCTTTTAAGTCCCTTTATTTTGTATGTATAGATGGCGCGTTATTGCTTTGTGTTAATTTATAGAAAATATGTAATCATGATTATATCCATCCTCATGTAGAAGGACATCAAGACCCGAAATCTCGAAAAATCTGAAAATAAAAAAGATTCATACAAGAAACCAAACCCTGAATAAATCCTCCCTCAAATATAAGGTATTCTAATTTCTGAATAGAGGTTCCATATGTAATTTTATAGCTCTCAAATTGACAGTTTTTATGTATTGAATTTAAATCTACTTTGCGAATTTATTATAATAATATATTATTCGAATTTTAGATTATATAAACAGATTGGGCCAAACACCACTTCTGATTGGCCGGAACGTTCCAATGTAAACAAATAACACCATTGGGTCAAATATTTTCTCGTCAGGTTTAATTTAGAATTTGACCAAACCTCTCTGGATATCCTTAAATTCTTTCCAGTAACATTTCAACATGAATTTATAAGATATACTAGCGGACGTACCCGGCTTCGCCCGAGGTTTTACCCGAGTAAAGGTTTGTCTAACGAACATTTGCCCGTGTTTTACCCGAGTAAAGGTTTGTCTAACGAATCTCTCGATAAAGTGAACATTTTTTCCCGGTCCCTTGAAAAATACTCGATAAGTTGAATAAATTCAATATTAATCGGTACCCGAGTAAAGGTCTGTCTAATGAACATTTGTTAAAACAATTCTCTATAGACTTATAAAAAGAAATAGATATATTTTGATAATTTGAAACTGATAAAGTGATCATTTTTTCCCGGTCCCTGTGTGCCGTGTCATTCTGAATTTTGTCTTTCCTAATTTTCTACATTACAAAATCATCGTTTTATCTAGTGAACATTTTTTCCCGGTCCCTTGAAAAATACTCGATAAGGTTGAATAAATTCATGGTCGTTTATGAAAGATGGACGAAGTTCCCAGAGGTCATCTTGGGCAAGCTCCCGCGAGGCTTTTTTTCTTGTCTACTTGGCATAGCTGTGTCACCAACTCTGCCCTGATTGGTCGGTGGGTACTTTGACTGTCGGCCGGCGGCCGGGCGAATCCATTCTCGCACGGGGTCTGCCCCACTCCAAACTTTTGGCAAAGCACTTTCTAATTAAAGATTATTGTCTTAAATAATCTTTAAGAACAAAAAGTATAATAATTGAACGATAGGAAATTATAGTAAATAATTATACTAAACTAAATGATGTAAAAATAATTATACATGAAATTTGAAATAAGTTTTAGAAAAGTTATCGTTAAGTCCACGGGAAAAGATGTAGCCAAAACAAATAGGTTTTTAACAGTGACACGTGAGCACCCGCCTCGAGACGCGCTCCTCTCTCCTAACATTACTCCCCCTCTTGAAAAAGCCTATCTCCGTCTCAATGGTGGCGCTGCTTGCGAGTTAAAGCTACAAATCTGCAAATAACTCTAAGGATATTCAAGATATTAAAGAAATTATTTTTCGTAAACCTTTCCGGGGATATACCTAATAATATCCCAAAATTTCACGGCGATTGGATGTATGGTTTTGAATCCATAGAGGACACACACACAGACAGACAGACACACAGACATTCATTTATATATATATATAGATAATAAATTAAAGCATTAAAAGCACGCTTGTTTCTTTTACCCAATAGTAGAAGTAGTTAGCTTTTATTGATTAATCAAAAATGGGTATTTGGCCAATTCTGGAATAATTAGAAATCAACGAATAATTGATATAACAACAACAACAACAAAAGCCTTTATTTAGGGTCACTGACCCTATACAGGATTCACCAGAGGTATGCATGAGAACAAAGCAGTAAAATTATTGATATTTATTCCGATAGATTGCGCCAGCCATCAGTAACTTTCAGTTGCACGATAAGGAGATGCCTTTGCCTTTTACACAACAGTAGAAGTAGTTAGCTTTTCTTGATTAATCAAAAATGGGTATTTGGCCAATTCTCTGGAATAATTAAAAAATCAACGAATAGTTGATATTTATTCCGATAGATGGCGCCAGTCATCAGTAACTTTCAGTTGCACTATAAGGAGATGCCTTTTTCACAACAGTAGAAGTTTATTTTATGTGTAAAAGAAAAATTCATACTTTAATGCTTATTTATTATAAATAGAGGGCGCGTTATTGATTTATATTTAAGATACTACATGTTTATAATATTGTGGAGGGAAGGGTATATACAAGGGTTTATTTATACTGTAAACTTAGAGAATTAGGAAAGAGACAAACTTCAGGATGACACTGCAATTTATTTGAGGCTAAAACAAATTACAACATTTATAAAATACAGACAGGCAATGAAAGTTTATAGAGAATAGAAATTAATAATCTATTAATAAAATAATAAATACTTTACTACATACATCCAGGGTAGCCTAGTGGACATGGCATCTGCCCAGTAAGCGGAACATTGTGGATTCGATTCCCATCCCTGGACACTTTTATTTTTCCGTTCATCATTACTCTTCATAATTCACCCTTTAATAAGTCGGTGGACGAGGTGGTAACACCCTCTATTCCCGACAGTCATGAACCGGGATTTAATCCCGCGTTAACATTTTGTTTAATATGTGAATAACCTTCATATATTATTCATTGTTCAATTATCATGAACTAGGTTGCTCTTGCTGAGCGGTACCTATTAATGTGATTTGAACTAGATTCACCCTTTCATACCTCATCCAAAAAGGTTATAAATAGTCAATATTTCACCTTGAAATAAATTTTGATTTTTCATTGAAAAGAAACTCAAGCGGTGTAACTTCAAGTGTTGTTTTACAATACTTTTATATCAGTGTCGTTAGTTCAGTAATTTCCCTTTTTTTAACACTTTTTTTGGCACACTTATGCTTCTTCCTATTGTGTAAAACCATCGAAACCACCTCTGATAGAAAATCTACTTATATATTTGCCTTATTCTGTCTGTTTGTCTGTTTGTCTGAAGCTCACGGATAGAATGCGCGCCCATTGGCTGCCAGCAAACACGTGACTTCCCTGCCCGCCCCCCTCTAGACAACCCTGTTATCAGCTGTGCGATACATACACCTGTCTATAGCGGCCATTCTAGACAACCCTGTTATCAGCAGTGTGTTACATCCACCTGTCTATACAGACCACCCTGTCTATAGCGGTCACTTTAGGCAACCCTGTTATCAGCAGTGTGATACATACACCTGTCTATACAGACCACCCTGTCTATAGCGACCACTCTAGACAACCCTGTTATCAGCAGTGTGATACAATCACCTGTCTATACAGACCACCCTGTCTATAGCGGTCACTTCAGGCAACCCTGTTATCAGCAGTGTGATACATACACCTGTCTATACAGACCACCCTGTCTATAGCGGCCACCCTAGACAACCCTGTTATCGGCTGTGTGATACATACACCTGTCTATACAGACCACCCTGTCTATAGCGACCACCCAAGACAACGTTTTTAAAATATATTCGCACTCGGGTAAACCCCGGGCGTTGCCCGGGCCATTCGTCTAGTTTTATATAAGAAGGCTTGGCTCATCAGTGGTGTACCCTCTCAGCGTTTGTAGGCAGATCTTACTTGAAATGTTGGAAAATATTAGATGAGAGGGTTTCACTCATCAGTTGTGAATGGTGAGAGGTTTTTCCTACCTCTTGCTTGATATTTAAAGTACATTCATTTTTTCTTCTTTTCATCGTTCTGGCAGAATTGAAATAAATTTATTTCGGTCTTAAGTTTTTTTTTTTTCCTTGTGTCGCATTTGAAATTGGTGCCATCCTTGAAGGTGGGTTTTTTACATTTTTTTCGGAATTTTTGTAGAAGTTTAAAGATTGTTTTATAATGTATTCTTTGATATTTTTCTATCTTGAGATCGTTTCTTCGTATTTTATTTCTGACAAAACAAGGTGCGCCTGTAAAAATGATTTCATTTTTAAATGTTTCTAGTTTTTTTTTATGAGTTCCAGATACTGTAATGGAATTTGGATGGCCATAGATGAGAATAGGTCTCAGTTTTAAGTATGAAAACACCAGGCTTCCAGGAATACGTTTCTTTTTTTATTATTTTAATTCACAAATGTCTCTAGCTTTCGGGTACGAAGGCCTTTCTAAAAGGGAAAACATGATACAATAAATCTCCAAAAGGACACACGAGATATACACACATACACACAAAAACCTTTATTAAGACACACAGGTCTTACAGAGGATTCTTCTTGGGGTTACAAGACGGAGAACCCCATGAAAGTGGAAAATATACAAAGGGGTAAAAATGGAGAAAGATTATATACACATGGTAAATATATACAGATTATTATTTGGATAATCCTATGGAAAATAAGAATATGAATTTGGAAAAAAAAATATTTTTTGGAAATATGGGTGGGAGAAGTGGAGAGCGAAAAGAGGAAAGAAAACAGGTATTTACATATGGAACATATATATAAGACACACACACACGAGATATAACAAAATACTATTTTACATATTTTCATAAAATTAAATTTAAACTCGTATCCTATTGGTGATTTATTGTATCGTATTTTCTCCTATAGAATAACTTCCATGTCTGAAAGCTGGAGAGTTGTGTATTCTTTTTTTTTTTTTTTTTTTCAAAGAAACTAATCTCTGGAATTCTGATGTTTTTGACTTAACTAGCCGAATGACCCGGACAACGCCCGGGTTTTACCCGATTAAATGCTTTTATTCAAATACTATTCGTTACAATTATAAATTGGCGCCGTGGATGTCATTCTTGTATAATATATAAATGAGTTTTAAAAATTGTAAAAAAAAAAAAAAAAGCATCGGCCAGGAATCGAACCCGGGCCGCCCGCGTGGCAGGCGAGCATTCTTACCACTGAACCACCGATGGTTATGAGAAATGGCCATATTTGGGTATTTATTCCATTCACAAAGCAAACGTTGACAGAATTGATTAAGAAAGAATTGATTATGACGCTGATAACTGTATATAAAGATATTGACACAAGGATATACATAATCTAATTGATGTAAATAATTATATGTAAATAATCTTTGTCAGTATTAGAATGACGAATCCTGTATGGGACTTTGATTCCAGTAAAAGGCTTGTTGCTGCTGTTGTATATAGTCACAGTGTGTGTAGAAAATACTATACTATACCTACTACTTATATCTCTGTATTCTTAGTTCTCTTCTGGCGAATCCTTTATAGGACGAGAGGTCCTCAATAAAGGCTTTTGTTGTTGTTGTTGTTGTTGTTGTAATATTGACACTAGGGATCGTGTGTGTGTTTTATTGAATAGGGCTTAGTATCGATGTGTAAATTGTTATTTTGCAGTGTTTAGAGATAACTTGCTTTTTCGGCCTAGAAGTAAGGCCTTTGGGGGGAGTGGGAGTGTTACAGTTTTTCCAGTTCAAAATAACTTTATTGGGCTCTCTCCCCTCAAAAAGAGCAACCTAGGTCATTATATTTACAATGATGTGGAGAGTGGGGGGTATATACAATGGTTCATTTATAATTATATTACAGTTATGTTATAGTGTCAATGTATCTAGGTCTGGAATCCTGGGGCTTTGGGAATCTTGTGTTTAGAGAGGTTTTATCTGGCTTTGCCTGCTTCCAAAATAACTTTACTAGGTACCGCTCAAAAAGAGCAACATATAGCTTAGGATATTTACAACAATGAATAATATGCTTGAAGGTTATTCATTTATTAAAACAAAGTGTCCAATACGGGATTCGATCCCGGTTCATGACTGTCGGGAATCGAGGGTTTTAACCACACGTCCACCGACTTTTTCTGGGGGGGGGGGGTGGCTTGAAAGCTCTTATCCCAGTTTTATTGAAGTAAATAAACATGAACTTAAGGTTTTAAACTCTCGTGTTTGATGTGTCCAGCACAAGATCTTCCCCGAGCTGTTGAAGATGGGATTCGAGGTGGTGACCGAGCAGGGCAAACACCCGGAGACCGGGGAGAAAGTCACCACCCACTTGTTCTACGTCTACCGCTCCTACCTGGTGCACGTCGTGGTGTTGGTGACGTGGCAGCAGGTGCTGTGGATAGGTCCCGTGCCCCTGGTGCCCCGCCCCTTCCAGCGTCAGCACCTCCTTCTCCAGGGACGCGAGGGCATCCTCCGAGCTCCCTTGAGGACCGAACACGCACAGGCCTGCCGCCAGCATGTTCTAGTTCCCGCCTCTCCCAGCCAGTACCTACGGGAGATCCGTTCCGCCCAATTTGTGCCCTGCAACGCCTCCGTCTTCCGCAACTTCTCCAAACTCTATCCCCAGGCTACTGAGAGGAATCAGGGCTTGGAGTCACTATTTAAAGCGGGACTTAAAGAACTCCGAGAAATCCTCGATCCATTAGGCGTGGACTTCTGGATCTCCAGCGGAACTTTACTAGGTAAGCGAATCTCTTTTTTAAAAAGCAGACGACTTGCGACATCAAAAACTTACCAGCCCTTAAGTTGTGTTTCCATATAGCCTTTAAAAGTATATTTTGTATATCATCCCAGTACAGAACGTAAAGATCTGCAACACCAGTTTTGGAAAATGTAGACAAAATCCAACCTGTGCGGTGATAAACAAAAATGCATCGTTTTAATACATTTTTATTGGGAAAGGTGCCCCTTTTGGTACATGATCACCATCCTTTCACAACTTTATATTTTATATACAAATTAATCTCATGTTTCCTAAATGAGCATCCTGGATATATCTAAATATGTTTATATAATGTGAACAATAGTCACCCAGGAATTATTAGGAATGGAGAAAATAGAATTCGAGTAAAAAGTTCCTTTTATTTTTTATTTTTGCAAGCTTTCTCGCAAATTTCTGTTCTTCAACAAGTAATTATTTGTTGAAGAGCAGATATTTGCTCGAAATCTTGCAAAAATCTAAAATAAAAGAAACTTTTTACCCGAATTCTATTTTCACTTTCAAATGTTTATATAAGTATCCCCCATTATATTTAACATGATTTTTGATAAGTGTTCTATTTTTTAAAATCTTTCTTTCGCTTATGATTGTGAGATAAGGTGATGTGAATTATGTGTCAAAAATTCCCCTGTCCTTGAAACCCCGACATAAGGACAGTCACATCTACCTCGCTTACTTTAATTTCTTCAATTTGCATTAATTAGGGTGTTACATACTGTCTCTCCTACTTTACATACCTTCAATTTGAGACACATCAACATTTTATTACCCGACGTCTCGGCGACCCGCTGTCGCCTTCCCTTCTCAAGGTGGAGAAGCTTAACAGGAAGTTTAACTTTGACTCATGGATAAAACTTAAGGAAGTTGTACCTTTTAGCATGTATATCCCATATATATAGCATATAATTCTCTAATATCGAGCATTTTTTCATTCAAAAATATTCCTTAAAACTTTTTTTTTTAATCTGTAAATTGCTTTTCTCGAATACACACAATACTTTACAATTTGATTTCATTTAACTAAATTG